CTCTTTCCATTTTTCATTCTCTGGGCTATGGGACAGCCTCAAGTGCTTCTAAACTAGACCCAACTCGAGCAGGCTGTTTGAAAAACTTCCCAGCCAGAGAGAAACCTTACCTCGGGACTGCAGAGTCACTCAGAGAAGAGACAATGAGTGGGGTGGCCTGGCTGGCCGTGTGGTCACAAGACAAAGAACTGAGAAAGAGGTGGAGTCTCACCTATTTCTTCTTTCCAACAGAAACTGATATTGATGACTTCCGTTGGTGTGTGAAGCTGACCAGAGAAATTTTTGCACAGAAAGCCCTGGCACCATTCCGGGGGAAAGAGCTCCAGCCAGGAAGCCACGTCCAGTCAGATGAAGAGATAGATGCCTTTGTGCGGGCCAAAGCGGACAGCGCCTACCACCCGTCGTGCACCTGTAAGATGGGCCAGCCCTCCGATCCCACTGCTGTGGTGGATCCGCAGGCCAGGGTGATTGGGGTGGAAAACCTCAGGGTAATCGATGCCTCCATCATGCCCAGTGTGGTCAGTGGCAACCTGAATGCCCCCACGATCATGATTGCAGAGAAGGCAGCCGACATCATTAAGGGGCTGCCTGCACTCTGGGACAAGGATGTCCCTGTGTACAAACCCAAGAGCCTGGCCACCCAGCGTTGAAGCAGTCACTGCCTGAGAAGCCCCCAACGAGTCAAGAGGGCCAGCACAGCCCTTGCTCCCAATGTTCTTTCCTGAAACTATCTAGACAGTTAAGATTCAGTGGCAGAGGACTGGGTAATTTAAGACATAAGACCAATACTGGTCAGTAAATCAGGATCCTTTTTCCCAGCACTTTTTTCTGGGCCCTTTGGGAAAAGCCAGTGGAGGATGGTTAACTCCTGCCATGGCCTTGTCTTATGTTCCGTGGTGCTCTTCAACCCAGCATCCTGCTGCCTTCCCAGGCCTCCCTCTGAAGGCAAGCCCCTCAAAGAAAGAGCACAGAGGCTGGGTGTCAGCCAGACCTGCATGACCTTCTCCAAGGGGCCACCTTCCATCTCAGGCTGTGGCTAAGGCCAGGAGTCACGTAACAGGGAGCGAGAGAGCTGCCTGCTAGAAGCACAGGCTTCTCCTTTCTCTTCCGCTTCTCAGTTTTACTCCATTTCACTCCTGGAGTGAGGCAAGAACTGGTGCTCAGCTCGGTCACTCTGAGGGGCTTGCGGCCCACCTGTCTGATGCCCTGCTTCTTATTAAACACGATCAGCCCGGCGAAAGGATTTCTGGACCTTGTTCAAGGAGAGAAGAGTCTGGAGAGGCTCTTTACTACCACAGGTTTCACGAGTTAGCATTTTAAAAGATTTTCCTGTTACCGGGAAACCTAGAACCCAGAGCAAACCCCACATACCAGACCACCACTCCTTGCCAAAGCAGCTAGCCGGAAAGGATGCTTTATCCTTGGCCTGGGGAAGTGACTCAGCACTGGACAAAGCTGGCTGATTCTTATTCTCCAGATGTCCATGGGAACAGACGAGGATGGAGCTGAGACTGATGAAAAAAGCAGTCAAGTAAAAGTAGCTCCCTGATCTCATAAAAATGCAATTGAAAGAATAAATTGTCAAATATTTGAGTTGGGGGAGGGGGGCGGGAAACAATACAAGTAGCATTTAAAACAGTTCTTTGATCTTTAAACTTCCTATAATTCAATAATGTAATCCAGTAATTTATTTTTGAACTGAGATGCCTTATTCAGACAGTCCTTACAAGATAATGAAAACTAATGCATTTTGGATTGATTTTTCTGAAGATATTCAACACTACCGTCCATGGCAGGGAAGAAAAGAAGCGCTATATGGAAATTTGCCTTGTTAGGCCCAGAATAAAGAAGGGAGAAAAATGGTACATTCAGAGCTTCTCCCAGGATCAGAATGAACTGAGGTGGCTTGGAGGCTTGGCAGCCATAACTTATGTTTCTGAGAAAGACCTTCCAAAAAAGATGGAAAGAAGAAGACCATCATACATCGCATTTCTTTAAAAATTTTAAACATCTCTTATTTAAATCTTACCTGTATCCTGTTTTATTTTCGGTTCCAAGGGAGGATCAAGAAAGAAAATTCTAAATCTGCCTAGAGAGGTTCCCCACCTGTCCCACAGCCTTGGTCCGTAGCCATCATCTTCTGGGTCTTGGAGCCACCTGTAAGGGCAAAAGAACAGCCAAGGAGCACAGGTGCCAACCCCACTGCTCTGAGAGCCAAGAACGAACAACTTGGGTGTGTAGGGGGGTCCCAGGCGACTGTGACTATACCGACCTCCTCTGGCGCGGGTATGGCAGGTGACACAGCCATTCAGTTCTGCCATCTCTCTTTGTGGTATTCTCAGCCTCTGAGACAATGGCTGATTTGCTGTGGCTATATTGTAAGTTAATGAAAATAATGCGTCCCGGTACGGCTTAATTAGATCCTGGCCCCTCTCCCAGTCATGCTTATGAGGGTCTTGTTCCTATAATCACACAATTTAGCCATACATAGAAGTTCCAAAAGAGAAGACCGTGAGCCTCATATATCCAGGACCTATAGAAGTCAAAGTGGAAAACTGTACTGTTGGGGTTCAGACACGGTACAGAATAGTGACTTGTAGTTTCTCACTGGAGCCTGACAGCTGAGTGCTGCAGCTGTCTGAAAGTTCCACTGCCCTGAGGGCACCCGACAGAATAAGGGACAGATCGCGCTGATATGGGCAGGTATAGGAGCAGCCTGCCTGCTGTGTGACCAGGAAATGGCAGGTCCCGGAAGGGGGAACTCTGGCGCCTTAGCTGCTGTCTTTCAGCTTCCAGTGCAGACAGCATCATTTCCATAAATTCAAATAGATTCTTCTCTCCAACCAAACCATGTTCCTCCACCCAAAGGTCATTTCATATTTCCACTGATCGACTTAACATCAGATCTGATACCTAGATTCTTTTCTCTTAAAAATCAGAAAACACACGAACACGCCCTTCTCGGCTGGCCCTGCCTTGAGACCCACGCAGTCTCTCTTACCATCTCCTGCCACCATCCCACCCACCTCCCCGGGGCATCCTCATAACCACTCGATATATATCATTCCCACTTTGGAAGCTAGGGCCCCAGGCCTGCTCCTCCTCCTTACCTGCCCTCCTAAGTTCCCAGAAGTAAAGGAATATCATTTTAAAGAAAAAACTTTTTCAACAAAGGAAAGCGTAGTTGGAATCTATCGTTAACCAGTTTTTAGGACAAACCGCCACCCATCATAATAAAAAGCTTTGTAGGAAAGCAGCCAATTGGCAAAGACACTTACGACTGAGGTGCAGCCTATAAAAAACAAACAAACAAACAAACAAAACCATGAAATAAACCACCCAGTTTTCTTTCGCATGCGTGGGGGCAGCAATAAAGTAGGTTGGTTCATCAAGCAGGTCAAGACCACACTGCACCAAGACGCTTCCGGGACCTTCACGACCCACCCTTCCTGGCCTTGGCTGATTCTGAAACCTCTTGGACTGGAGCTGGAAAGTAGCGCCTGGCCAAGTCTGGATGGAAATCACAGAGACAATTGTTAAGGAGATTCTTGTTCATTGATAGTTAAATCAGAACTGCCATTTCCATTTTGTGATATTATGGAAAAGAAAAAAAAAACACAACAGATTAAAGAAACAACGTACTAGTCCTAGAGACACCACAAAATGACATTTTGGTAGAAGGGGAACCAAAAGGAAAGACATTTAATCTTAAAACTTTCCTAAAACAAAGGAAAAAACCATGCTCTACAACTTCAAATTTTTCTTACAAAGAAAAATTTAATGTTAGATGAGAGGTTGAACCAGACTTAAAGCAGACAGATATTAGGAGAGGTGCAGCCTGTAAAAATGCCAGTTTCTAAGTACTGACTGGAAAACCTCATTGCCGATACCAGAAAGTCAGTCCTGGTAGGCAGTGTTGGACTGGCGATGTTAAGCCACACAGTAAGACCAATACCTAAAAGAGAAACAGTCCCAGATGATGATAACAGTGGTTTAGCCCTTAAGGAGAAACAGTGCTCTCTGCAGCTGGTATTAGGTTACCATAGGCATTGAAGGAGCCACGAGGATAAGAAAAAGTATTTACAGAATTACAATGACAGAACTGCCCTCACAGAGTGCTCGCCCCTCTGAAGCTCTCGCTGGCGAACGCCAGCTCTTTGCAAGGAGAGCTCCTAAATATAATAAAATTATTACACAGTTTTATTATGAAGAACATTTTGCATTTTAATAAAAAAGAATTTACCTCAGGAAATAGTCATTTACAAACCTTGAAGTGTTTTTGCCTGGATTTGGAGTAAGAATGTTTAAGAAGAGGTAAGGTCTTCACAACAAAGTATTAAAAAAAAAAAAAAAATCACTGATTAACAGGTTGTCTATGTAATATCTAAAAATCTAAACCAAAAATTGCTACCTGTTTGACTGCAGAGAATCCCTGCTAAGGTAACTTGACAAAGTCAGCATAATTCTGTGAACAGAAAAGGAAGCCTCGATGGGTCTAATGATCCAAAAGTGGGTTTTCATCAGGAAGTACAATCAGAGTGAGAGTGCATTCTAATGAAAACATCAGCCCTCATTCAATTGCATATAAAAGCCCTCAGAGAGAACACACAGTACAGCACTGTTTTGTAAAAAGGCAACAATACGATTGATCCCCGGCCTTTTAGTCCTACGGATCTTCATTCTGCTCCCCCTGTCCTCCCTGCCCCAGCACTCCTTATTTCTTAAGACAGGCAGTACCACCATTTCCCAGGAAACATAAGCAGAGGGATTTCATCCACTTGTGCAATTATTCCTGCACTAGACATGCAAAAATGTCCTGTGGGGAGCAGGTAAGAAAACCCGCAACTATGAATGCCACAGGGTCAGAGTAACCAGCTTGACCTACTCTTGCCATGAACTTATGGGGGAGGGGTAAAGGAAAACAAGACAGTTGCAACCCATGGTGAATCAAAAGGTACACTATCAAATCATAGAGCTTTTGCCTGAAGAAAAGACGACAAATAGTCATCTGGTATATCTTGTGTAAAGACAGATTTATAGTGACTCAAAATATTTTAGAAAAATCTCTGTAGTGTCAAGTTCTTTTGAACTTAAAATTTTTACCCCCAAAAGATTTTCACTGAATAAATGAGAATTGGCTCTATTTCTATAACTTCTGTTTAGTCTGAGTAAAAATACTAATAATTTCCTAGATTTCAGGGGGGAACCACAATTATTAGGACCCATGGATATTGCTGCAGTTCAAATACGGTACAATAATTACAAAATATAGACCATCTCTTTACAAATACAAATTATAGTATATTACAAGTCATGTACAGTAAATCTATAATTTTTAAACAAACTAGCGTACCTAAGTTGACCTGGTTGCGAGTGCATTATTATTCCAGTTTACAGTTGCCCTTAGCCGGACAGTCAGAAACCGACCATCTGAGTGATGCTCTCTCATGTAAACTGGCGTCACATAACAGAAAACCTCGTTTATAAGGTCCTGCTTTTCTCAGGATGACAGCTGGTACGTAGGTCCTGACTTACACACTATGTTTCAGAACAGCTAAACAGGAACCAGGAAGCAGTGTATTTTGCGGGGAAGGGTTTAAAAATGGATATGCTGGGCCCAGTGAATGTCTGATATGCTAGACCAATGGCTGAGGTAATGACACAGGTATGGTGATCGTCATCACCTTTAACCTTCCCCACCATGCCTGTGGGCAGGTGGGCCTGGGTGAGTGCCTCAGTGCACTCCGAACGAGAGGGCAGGGCTTGTCCGCCCTCAGCCAGGCGCCCATCCTCTGCGAGAGGGCTGGACCTGCTGTTTCCCACAGCTGGGGCTGAGCACATGTGCACAGCTAGCTATTCTCTACCAGGTTTATGGCTTCCTTGAGGCATGACGTCACTTGTACAAAAGTCTAATTGAATATGGACTTTACACTAGTGCCTAAACTTTCCTAACTATGAGGCACTTGTTCCCTGACCCTCTGGCACCCCACCTGAGGCCAGAGACAGCCTGCCCCGCCCTGGGGGCTACAGGGTGGTAATACATATCATTTCATCCGCCAGGTCCTCCTCCTCTCTCCCGGGGTCTGGCTCTTCGTCGCTGTAGCCTGGCCCGAAGTCCTGGAGCTCATAGTCCTGCCTGCTTGAGACAAGGCCCATGTCCCCGTTAGCCCGGGGATGCACATTCCCATTAAGCAGGTTGCTGGCTGCACTCTCCATCTCATCAATCGTTAGGTCACAGGCATCGGCAATTTCGTGTTTTGTTGCTGACACGAATTTTGGGTCCCTTGCATATCGTCCTAAGCCCTCGGATATCAGGACCTGCAGAGGAAAGAGGATCAGTGGCATGAATGCATTATAGGATTTTGAGGCGGGAGGATGACAGAAAACCCACCTCAAGCACGTTATAACAGCATGATGTGCTTCTGGGACCCAGCCAGTTATGTTCACTAGATCTCATACATGGTAACTAAACGTAAGTAAATGGCTTTGGCTTTGAAATGTCATGGAACTCAAAAACTACACGTGGCCCAACCAGAGTGAAGCCCTACGGGAAGAATATTTTCGTATAAACTGCTAATAGTTGCAGGAACAGCACACGTAATCCTAGGAACAGCTAATTCATGAGACTCGGCAGTGGTGCTGGTTTTATGTACCGCCTCTTTGCTTCTAAGAAGTGGGTGGTGTCCCGATCAGAAGCAAGGCAGCCTTGCTCTGGACCCCGTCTGCCCTCCGAGCCACCACTTGCTCTGCGCAGTGCTCATGACTCGCCCCCCTGCTGTGTCTGCAGCCTGCCCTCAGGTGGCATACCAGTGAGCCATACTCACTGCCTCGACCAAGCTGTCTGCACTCCTCTGCTTGTCGCTGTTTTTGTTGCGGAAGCTGCTGGGGACAGTCAGGCTGGCTGGTGTGAAGGTCCGATAGGAGATGCCAGGCTCGTCCGTGTACCACGAGCTGCGGTGCAGGGACGGCAGGCTACCATTGATCTGGTCCAGGGCCTCCGACTGCTCGACCTGGATCAGGGGGGTGTAGCACGGCGTCCAGTCCTGGTGTGGTGGGGTCGCTGGAGGAGTGGCCCATGACCGGGTTGAGTGGCTCGGTGAGTACTTCTGCGCTTTACTTGAATCTAGGCCTGCAACTGCCATGATCTGAGGAGAAAGGGGAAGTGGGGAGACCAGAGGTCCTCAGAGGTCCAGGCCTTGGGCCTCCTCAAAATGGACCAAGCATGAGGCACTGTTTTACAGGGGTGGCCTCAACAAGGACTTTGAAAGGGCCCGAGCACACTGAGTAAATTAAATGAAATGGCGGTAAAAATTTCTAGCAGACTGTATTTTGTTTTTCCCAAAATCCACAATGCATTTCATATGACCGTTCCTAAGCAGGAATCAGTTGCTAATTCATGAAATTGCTTCAGAGCAATCAAGCATCAGGGACGACGTACATGCTGTGGTGCGTGAACACGCCACCAGCTTACTCTGGTTTAAGTGCGCAAGTGCATTCAGAGCAAACTAATGGTTCCAGCACTCTCAGGAAAGCACAGCTGGTTCCCTATACGCTCGCGCATCACACGGCCAGCGTTTGTCCAGAAGCACTGTGTACAAGCCTGCTTCTCCTACCTATGGTGGCACCGCGACAGATCCGCCTTGGTGTTCCCACTCTGCACTGGGGAAACCTAAGGCCCAGTTTTGTCACCAGCACAGTCCCATGGGCAAAGCGAAAGCCATGGCCTCCAGCGCAGAAAGGACCTGGGCCCGGTCAGGGCAGGGCAGCAGGGCGAAGGTTATTTTTTCATGCACATGCCCATGGAGACTTGGTCCTTGGCATTCGATGGCCTGGGCCTTCCCAAGGTTTGTCTTTCTTCCATGATAAAGCAGGACACAAATTAAAACTAACGTAAAAACTGAAGGCAGCAAAGTAAAAAGTTGGCAGAGAGACCTGAAGAGAGAATCTGAAATGTAGCTAGTGTTCATGCGCTGAGGACACTCCAGATGAGAAACCTGCCAGAAGAGCTGGCTCTGTAAACTGACAGACTGGGTGCATACTACATGATGTACTTCTCTCCACCTCCCTCCACCTCTCTTCCCAACACACACATACACAAGTGGACAGAATCTCTGATGTGCTCCTTTTAGGAAAAAAAAGTACCATGTTTGTGTCCTTGAGGCAAAGCCCTAGTGAGTGGGCTCTGGCCCCACACTCCCGCCTGTCCAGTCACCCACACTGTAGACAAGTCTTTCTGCTTGGACCACACACCCCATGCAGGCAGGGTCGGAGGCTTGCCCACCCCCGTGACCACAGGGCCCTGCTCACAGAGGGCTCCTTAAATGTGTTTTAAGGAAGAAATAACCTCTCAGAGTAAATAAAGGGCAGCGCTGAATGTTCAGGGTCAGTCAAGCGACCACCACTCCCTGGGTCATGAATTGTGCCAGGCCCTGTCTTCAACGCTGAGGATAGATATGGCGGAGAAGACTGTACCTAGGCTGACAGCCCCGCTTTGGAAGCTGGCAGCCTTGGATTCAAATGCTAACTTGGTCACTTACCTCCTGTGTGAGCTTGGGTGTCGCCTACCCTCTCTGATGTTTGCTTATCCATTCAATAGGGTGGGTACAAGGCTGGGTGGGCCAGCTCACCTGTTGCTGCATCAGGTGCAGAGGCAGGGCCGTGCGGTGGGGGAAGGTGGGGGACGGTGGGACCTCCTCCTGACTGCTCTGCCGACGCAGGCACTCGAAGTTGAAGGAGGATCTTCGGTGGGCTGAGAAGGCAAAACATACCGTGCAGTTGTGAAGCAAGTTGTCTGTCAGGACCCCGGGACCCCGGGTGTCAGAGTGGCCCACGGGAAGCGTGGCAGAAAGCCCAGGAGGAAGCAAGAAATATGTCCAAGAAAAAGAACTTGGAGAGGGAAAATGCAGAATAAGCCCAACTGAGGGATGTTTTTAAACATGTGCAAGTAGATTTCTTATAAAGACCGTGCCTGTTCTCAGGGGGAGGAGCTAAAGGCAGCCAGAGGCAGCTGTTCTGACTTAAAGTCCCTGGTCCCACACTTTGTGGGAAATACAGAATCTCAGACAAGTACACAACCCATTCTAGAATCCCACAGACGCTGACTGACGGCCCCATTCTCACCTTCCAGACATCTTAAGTGTCTCTGGGGGCTGAGGTATCTCAAGGTGCATCTGTGTTTCCCTCTCTTGTAAAGGGAGTGACTTGCTACCCGCCCTATCAGCTCAACCAGATAATAACCAAATTCTTTCATTAGGAAAAACCCAGCTTCCCTAGCACCGAAGACAGAACAAAAAAGGAACACCTCTAACTTCAAAGAATGCAGTTGTCCTGTTAACAGCCACTTTAAATAGAGGCTTATATACAGGTCGAGTGGTGACAAGAGATCCAGAGCTTGCGGCTTCACAGGGTACCAGGCAAAGGAGATCAGTTTGAATTCTGGGTCCCCAAGCACGGGCCAGAGGCCTCCCACTGAAAACACCTGCAAGGAAGGAGGAGGTGTTTCAGGAGTCCTACCTATAGTTTGCAAGGCAGTGAGTGGCCAAGCTACTTCAGCAGCTCCTTTCTTGACCTCAGCTTTCTAAGCTCCGGGGCATACTTAAAACTCCATACCCTTAAATTCCTGTTTTGGAAACTGCAGATGTCAGCCTGAGGAGCCCTCCCAGGCATCTTCGAACTGCACAGGAAGCCGCAGGAACCGGTTTTGTGAGGGCCCTGCCCCTAAAGTGCACAAAGACCAAGCCGGTCGCTGCCCAATAGGGAGGAACAAGACAGACGACAATCCTGGTCTCACAGGCCCGATGCGCATGGCAGGGCACGCTGGGGCCTCCTCGTTGAGCTGCCTACCTGGGACAGATACCTGCGCAACGGCTGCTGTCCTCGTCAGACAGCCTTTTTCTCCCTGCACCATGCAAGGGCAGAATTTAACAATGTTCTAAGGGGGAGGGGCCTCCCTTGTCAACACAGCTTCTAGGATTCTCCTAGGATCAGATGGCTGGGGCCCAAGGCTGAGCTGGGAAAGGAAAACCTCCGTCCCGCTCATTCACACAGTGCCGTTCGGTTTTGAAAATAGATCCACATACATCCGTCATCTCGTTTGCTCTGCACGGCCATCTCTGATGGAGGAAGTAGTCCTACTGAATCTGAGAACACAGGCTGAGGAGTTTCACTTTCTCCCTGCCCAAGGTCTGAACCGGTGGGCAGTGAAGCAAATAAAGTACATTTTATTTGTCCTTACAAATAAAGAGGGCAGCTGCTCTTGCCTGCTCAGCTTCCTAGCTTCCCTGGGGTGGCACCTGTGAGTGATGGGCATTAATGAGGCCACCAACGGGAGGTCCTGAGGAGGGCAGTGGACTCATATGGACAAGGGGCCTCCGCCCAGCCTCCGCCCTGCATGTGCGTCAACCAGTATTTAGGGAGACCAGAACTGCTCTGTGTTTAGGGCTGTGCATTAAATATTAACCATGGAAATGGGTTTGATTACACTTCCCAGCAAGGCTATGACAGCTGGAGAGAGACAGAGGGCCCCAGGCGCCACCTAACCACACTTGTTATTGTGCATGTAGTCTGTAGACTTGGAGCCGATATGTCTTGGCTATTTTTGGTTACTGATTAGAGTACTGCTCAAAAATATGCCTCATTCCTTAGAAACACCAGAAGAGGATATTCTTTAACCTTGATCCAAATGACCGCATGTCCAAAATCAAACTGTCCAGCTAGGATCTGGCAGGGGCCACTGCTGCATTTCTTTCCCTGGCCCGAGGGTGACCCAGATCTCCTGGCAGCACCAGTTATGCCACCTGCACGAGAAAACCAGGTAGGGGAGCATCCAGCTCCTGCCCCTCCTCAGCAGGATGGGATTCCCCAGTCTCGGGATGGGAACGCCTACTCTGGAGGTCACCGCCAAGGCCAAACCCTGCCCGGTGAGCAGAGGGCACCAGCAGGCTGGAGGCTAAGATAAAAGGAGGGTGAGGAAGGGAGAAAGGAGGAGAATACCATGGTGGGGACTTAGGAAAGACAGACACCAAGAATCCCCAGGTACTGCACCATCAGAGACATGGGCCTTGGTCAAAGAGACTTGGGCTAAACCCAGCTCCGCACATGGGCTGATCCCTTCTGCCCTGAGGGTCGGTTACCCCACCCATAGAGCGGGCCTGACAACAACAACGGTGCATGTCTTGCTCATCTCTCAGGAGATCCCAGGCTCAAAGGCAATGCTGAGGTTCACAAAAACCCCTCATCCGATGCTCTGTGCTGTGTGACTTCAGGGCCCATACTGTCTTTCTCTGTTCTCAGAGAGTCCAGAACAGTGCTGCAGTGGTTTGAACTCTACCACATGGGATACAGATGAGAAAGAAAGGAAAGCTAATAAGATCTCCAAGCAGGGGCTGGTCTTGAGGGCTACAGATCCATCCCCAACATGGGAGGACCACGCCCATCATCGCCTTTCCCCGCAAACTCTGGAGCTGGGTGAGGGAGGCACACTGTTTTCTGAGAAGCTTCACCCCAAACAAAAAATCTGGCCTCACATGTGGGGGTGGGAGGTAGTAGACGTCTTCTTGGAGATCTCCGGGAATCATAGCCAACGGGCGAGTCATCGTCCTCCAAGAAGCCTTGGGGGTGATGGTAGCCTCGGGGCCGCTCAAAGTCCAAGTTGCTGCCTGGGTATCGGTTGTAGTAAATGTAGTTTTGCCTGGTGATCAAAAAGACAGAGAGAGACAGAGGGAGACAGAGGGAGACAGAGAGAGACAGAGAGAAAGGGTCACTAGTTAACAAGCCCTTTGCTCAAACAGACCCATGTCTACAATCCTTTCCCTA